GAAGTAGATCCGCAAAATCAACGTCCTGCCCTCACTCTCACTGAATCAATGGTAAGCACGCGCCTCTGCTGCAGAACAACCCAGTATGTCGGTGTGAAATAATTAATTATTGAAATTTAGATATTAAATTTAAAGCTCCAATCTCCTCAGTCCTCCAAAGATCCTGAAAAAAGTCTGTTGTTGCTTCAGTGACTACTTTGCTCAGAGAACCTGTCAATTTCATTTCAGAAACGCGAGATCAAGAAACTAACTGGAAATAAAAATAATAACAGGCCTAATTCATTCCATTTATAAACATTTCGTTTCATATAAACTGCCTATAAAGGTAGGCTACTATCCACCGATCCATGTTGTGGTTCTAACGGGACTGAACTTGAACGTCACAGCAGAGCGCCACTAGCCTATTTTAGCAATCGCACAATAACTTGACAATTTAATTTAAATTTTATATCAGTATAGCCTACATATTCTTTTTACTTTTTTATTTTTTTATGGGAATTTCCTGGTAAAATGAAGGTAAAAAAATATTATTTTATATTTTATTTTGCCTTTCCACGGACCACCTGCAGTACCCTCACGGACCACTAGAGGTCAGTGGACCACAGTTTGGGAATGGCCGCGGGTCAAATGTCAACTCACCCATGTTGTTCTTGTGCACTTTCAAAGCATATGTCAGAGGTTAGAAAACTGTTAGTAATAAATAAAAGATTGCGATTAAAGAAGGACGAGCATATTAAGGCATCCCTTTCTCCCTGAACACAGAAGTCTACCGTTATAACCTAACTCGCGGTGAAGATAAACTTACTTTCTTTCAGAGAAACACAACAGGAGATAAACTTACATAAGCAGAAAGTTAGAGACTGACACTGTGACATTCAGGTTTGTAACAGTAAATAAGTAAATAGTATATTTATGTTTGGATGAACTAATCAAAATGGAAATACTGTTAGTTTTTACACTGAGGTACGAACAATACACTTAGTGTGTGTTTTTTTTTTTTAGCTATTTGATTAATATTACTTACAAAAGCTTAAATCATACTGACTGACTGCAAAAACTTATTGCAACACTGTCATAAATGATCTTACCATTTTTCGTGTTTTTTGTTGACAGGATGCCTCATTATTTCTGTTTTCCTCACAGGTTTGAACTGCATTAATAATAATCACAGACGTGTTAAAACAACGTGTTTTAATCCTATGTTGAAATTTATAATATTAAAAAAAAGATAAATATTTCGAGCTCTGGATTAATTGCTTGCTCTCCTGACCTGTTTTTCTGCATTTCCTGCAGAAGCAGATCACAACGACTGCAACCACAATCATCAGAGATCCAGCAGCAGCAGAGATCAACACTATCAGAAACACTGAAACTGGAGGAACTGAATTAAACTGTGTGTCCGGTGCTGTAATGATAAAGAAAGAAGTGAATGCATCAATCTGATCTACAACAAAAGACAGAGATCAGCTCAGTAAATACACACATATATCATCAGTGCTGTGGTACCTGCACATGTGTGACAGAGTGTGTTGATGTCCAGATGTGTGGTCTGGTTGCTGATGGGATTGTTCAGCACACAGCTGTAGGTGTTTTTATCCTGATATTCCACCTCCAGAGGTAGAGAGAGACTGATGCTGAGATCACACACACTGATGCTGGACAATACACTCATTCCTGCGTACCAGGAGAGAGTCGCATCACTCACATTCAACACTGATGAACACACCAGTGAACATGATGATGATGATGATGACGAACATTGTGAAGAGTTATTGATGATGACAGGAACAGGCAGACGAGCTGGAAAACATCAAAGAATAAAAATTATTAATAATACAAATATTAATTAATCTATAGGAATGGGCACGAGTACTTGAGTATTCAAAGGTGACAGCGATCATGAAAACGATGATCACCCTGACTTTAAAAACATATATTTGTCTATTGGTTATTGCGTGATTTTGGATGGTACCAGAGGTCTGATTGGTTAGCGTTAGCACGCCTTCCAGACCAGCGAAATCAAATGAATCTGGATTTGAAAGGCAGTGATGCCTGGAATCACTTTGATCATGAAATACAGTTAAGTGCAAGATGTGCAGCACCAGTCTGTCTACATAGCATTATAATGCGAAAGTGATTGTAATAGATTAGAATGTTTGTAAATTCTTTGTGCTTTAGTTTCCTGTGTATCAGCGTGCTGTAAAGGGAACCCACAATGAGATAGCAGACTAGCACGGTCAAGTTCACGAGCGCATTCGTGCCCTTTAGTGCAGGGGTAAATTGTAAGATTACTTTTATTTTGTCTATCTGATTTAATATCATATAGGACAAGTTCGGTTGAGTATATTAACCAGCTACTAAAAGCGCTGCAGTGCCGACCGGTGTTCATTCACTCTACAGTTTGCAATGCCCGACATTGACTATGGGTTATTTGTAGGGGTGTAATGACACCCTCTGGTTCCAATTTGATACATATCACGATACTGAACTCACAATAAAATATTATTGTGATACTCCAAGACATATGATAAAAGGTTAACAAAAAATGTACTGTTGAATAAAATGCTAAATTTGATATTACATTTTGGGTGTAAATTAATAGGCTTTGACTTGGACGGGATAATGGTGACACCAGAAATACAAATATTCATGATTTTGAAGCTGAAAATACAGAATTATTTTTAGACGAACATGCTTGCATTCTGTCACTGATAAGATATATTTAAAATAATGTAGACCACTCTTTACTGGTAACATAAGACATTTGGCATGAGGACCCACAAATAGTCCGCCATTACATAGGGTAGGACAAATGATCTCTACTCACCATAGACAGAAACATTGAATATTTCTGATGTCAGTTTCAGTCCACTTATCTCTAGATTATAAACTCCAGCATGTTCAGTTGTGGTGTGTGTGATGGTCAGAGATCCAGTTTGATGATCCAGCTTCAGTCTGTCTCTGAATCTCCCATCAGGAACATCATCATATATAGTGAAGATTTGCTTTTTTTTCTTCATTTTAGCTATGAGAGCCTTTTCAGCTCTAAATTTCCACATTATGTAGTCGTCTTCACGTATTTGAGTATCAGAGTTTAGAGTGACAGAATCTCCCTCCATCACTGACACTGAATCACCAAATACACCTGATGAACAAACAGATTTATACAGATTAAGGCTCCTGATGGTTTACAAAGTCAGAAATCAGCTGTAGTTTGTAAATAACTTACTAATGAAAGGTGAGATATATGAACATCATTTTAATGGTGTAAATACAACATGGAAAGTTTGTTTTTTTCTGGAAATTGTCTATACCTACCACATTTTGGTATATGGGACATGTATAGATAAAACAGGGTTCCTACACTTTTTATCTAATTATTATTATTATTATTATTATTATTATTATTAATATTATTGTTATGTTACTACTGAATTAAAAAAAAAATGTTTAGAGATGATTTGCACTTGTAATCCTTGAAATTAACATAAAACCCACAAAAATGTGGCTTAATGGAGGTCTTGCTTTGAGCCTCCATTGGTTGAAGTTACATTCAATGTAGCAACTTGACTTCCATGGCTTTTATCATCTGTGAAGAATGTTACTGATATTTAGCAAAAAATATGTACATTTATAACTTACCAGTCAGACGGCACCAGCACAAACAGAACAAAACAAGCACTTGAAACATTCTTACATTGTGCCACCAGCAGCTCATCTTAGTCAAACTGAAACCTGCAGAGATGTGGTTGTGGTTGTGGATCTGCGTGTAGGTGAGCAAACCTCCAAGCTCATTAGGTAAAATGAGAAGAAAATTGGAATATTGTGTGCATCTTCCTAAATTTCATGCTGAATTAGAACTTTTTGATTAGAGATTTAAATGGTTTTATAATTCACTTTCATTCAAATCAATCAAAATTAAATCAATTATAAATTATTTGTGTATGGTTTTAAAAATTAAAGCCATCTGCAAACTCATGTTGTTGTACTAGCAGCTCATCTTAGTCAAACTGAAACTGCTGTGGTCGGTGGTTCTTCAGAGATACGGTTTGATCTGCACAAAGATCTTTTAGGTGAGGGGGCATTCAGTGTATGTGTGTTTAGTTTGCAGGTGAAGTGTTTTTTCCTGTGCTGCTTGTAATGAACCTAGCAGATGATTCCCTCATAAAACAGCTTTAAAGTAAAATAAAATAAAAATACTGAATGCATAAAAATGTCAAATCTGATTCACAGGTCAAACATGATAACATACACAACATTGACAGCCAAGCAATAGGTGTAATTTGCTGGAGGGACATGTCCCCACCACTTTACATCATGTGGTAGGCTACAGATGTATATAGTACAAAGTAAACGTCTAGTTGTGTAGCAGACTCTTCATTCTGGTGAAATTACAAAAACAAAATTTACACAAATGTGTCCCTGCTCTAGATATACAATCACTGATGAACATCTTTGGTTTTAAAGGTTTTCTGGGTTCTCAAAGCGCTTTACAAGGGGGGAAATCACCTCAACCACCTCCAGTGTTTAGCATCCACCTCGATGATGTGATGCCAGAACGCCCACCACACACCAGCTTATTGGTGGAGAGAAGACGGAGTGATGAATACAATCACCATATATATATGTATATATATATATATATATATATATTGTAAACTGTATATTAAACTAACCATGTTTCTAACATCTAACCATATTTCTCTTTTTAGGCCTAACATGCTAACACTTTGAACACAATGTACTATCCTGTGTTTTTGAATCCGGCCTTGCTTCTTCTTGGGGGAGATTCTCTGAGAACTGCTCGAGAAATCATCCGGCCGTGATTAATTTAGAGGACATTTGCTGAAGTCTGTTTGGAAGTCTGTATTGCTGCGCAGCAAGAGGGCACTTTCGCTGTACCTATTAAAGGGGCAGGGACTCAAAATGTATGTTAGGAAAAAGAAGGCTTGGGAAGGCAATGAGAAATAACAACAGGTTTATTTATTAGAGTGCAGGTAATGGCTAAGCAGGTAAGGGAATTATATTTCTTGGATGCAAATCAATAACCAGAGTTTTACTGTGTTGCAGGTGACGTTGGAGATTGTGTATTTGTGGATGGTGACCGTGGAGAGCACACACTTCCAGGGATGGTCCAAACAGGTGAGTATACAGGTACAGGTCTTGAGTGTCGTACAAGAGAGATTTTGTCATTTGGTCCTTGAATCGTTTGTGTCCCATTGAAGTCCATTATATGGAGAAAAATCCTGGAATGTTTTCATCAAAAACCTTAATTTCTTTTCGACTGAAGAAAGAAAGACATGGACATCTTGGATGACATGGGGGTGAGTAAATTATCAGCAAAAGTTTTTTTAAAAGTAATCCTTTAACGTTATCTTACTTCCTATTTATAACTTATAGAAAGAGTGCAACTTTATAAAGTTACATGTTTTGCAAAATACATAATGATTTGGGGACCAAGTTTGTAGTCAAATTATGGGCAGGCCATAGTCAATGTAAAGCATATTGTTGATGTTTCGTCCCTATTAGTGAATGTGCCATAACTGTTTATAATCCGCCGTAATCAATGGTCCTGCTTACTAGCCTGTGCGTTCATGGCAGGCTCCGCTGTGGGGGAGGAGCTGTGGAGGGCTCCGCTGTGGGGGAGGAGCTGTGGGGGAGGAGCTGTGGAGGGAGGAGCTGTAGGGGAGGAGCTGTGGAGGGCTCCGCTGTGGGGGAGGAGCTGTAGGGGAAGAGCTGTGGGGGAGGAGCTGTGGAGGGAGGAGCTGTGGGGGAGGAGCTGTGGAGGGAGGAGCTGTGGGGGAGGAGCTGTGGAGGGAGGAGCTGTGGAGGGAGGAGCTGTGGAGGGAGGAGCTGTAGGGGAGGAGCTGTGGGGGAGGAGCTGTGGAGGGAGGAGCTGTGGAGGGAGGAGCTGTAGGGGAGGAGCTGTGGAGGGAGGAGCTGTGGGGGAGGAGCTGTGGAGGGAGGAGCTGTGGGGGAGGAGCTGTGGGGGAGGAGCTGTGGAGGGAGGAGCTGTGGAGGGAGGAGCTGTAGGGGAGGAGCTGTGGAGGGAGGAGCTGTGGGGGAGGAGCTGTGGAGGGAGGAGCTGTGGAGGGAGGAGCTGTGGAGGGAGGAGCTGTAGGGGAGGAGCTGTGGGGGAGGAGCTGTGGAGGGAGGAGCTGTGGAGGGAGGAGCTGTAGGGGAGGAGCTGTGGGGGAGGAGCTGTGGAGGGAGGAGCTGTGGGGGAGGAGCTGTGGAGGGAGGAGCTGTAGGGGAGGAGCTGTGGAGGGCTCCGCTGTGGGGGAGGAGCTGTAGGGGAAGAGCTGTGGGGGAGGAGCTGTGGAGGGAGGAGCTGTGGGGGAGGAGCTGTGGAGGGAGGAGCTGTGGAGGGAGGAGCTGTAGGGGAGGAGCTGTGGAGGGAGGAGCTGTGGAGGGAGGAGCTGTGGGGGAGGAGCTGTGGGGGAGGAGCTGTGGAGGGAGTAGCTGTGGAGGGAGGAGCTGTAGGGGAGGAGCTGTGGAGGGAGGAGCTGTGGAGGGAGGAGCTGTGGAGGGAGGAGCTGTGGAGGGAGGGCTGTAGGGGAGGAGCTGTGGAGGGAGGAGCTGTGGAGGGAGGAGCTGTGGAGGGAGGGCTGTAGCACAGCAGAGAGCAAGGGGGTTGGACCTGTAAGTTGTGCTTGTTTAAATTTTCAGGCTAAGTCAACATTTTCTCAAAACTCCCTACTGCAGCTTTAAACGATACGAGACGATGAATAATATGGAGCGAATTATGTGCCAAAATTAAACAAACAAATCCAGCATTTTGCAAACAAACTCGATCTGCTTTGCAATGGAAAAGTCGACTCGCAAACAAACTCGATCTGCTTTGCAAAGGAAAAATCGACTCGCAAACAAACTCGATCTGCTTTGCAAAGGAAAAATCGACTCGCAAACAAACAGAAAGCAATTTGCAAAAACAAAGGTCAATTTGAGTGAAAATGCAGTGGAGTAACCAATATTGTGTTTTACAAATATAAGTAAATGATCCTTGATAAATACAAACAATCCTACAAATTGCATGTAGCCTTTGAACAAATACCAAATCTAGTGCCTACAAATGCATATCTGTCTGTTATGATTGTGAGATCTCTCAGCTCGATTTTCTCACAAATGCGTCCAGGCAGATTTTCTCACAAATGCGTTCAGGCAGATTTTCTCACAAATGCGTTCAGGCAGGTTTTCTCAAAAATGCAGATGAGTAACTTCCTCTTCTAAAACAGCAGATGGCGCTAAAATAGGGAATTCATTTAGCGCTAGTCTCCCGGGAGAAGCACCGATTTGAAATGCGTTTGCCTTTGCCTACAGGTGAGGAAAAAGTTCCTGTCTTACTTTATTTATAATAAACATCTTGAAGTTTTCCTTTGCTAAATGTTTATTACATATCTAGACAGAAATCCACATTAGCACTTAGTAACACTTCTCTCCAGGGCCGGCGCCAAGGGCATTCACGAGTTACTGTGCCCCCCCATCCAAACCTCCCTTCCTTCCCTCCCCGCTGAACGCAAACCATTACAAATGTGTGGTTGAGTATAAATATACTATAAATATACTATAAATAGCAGGATTAGTTTTAACAGTATGTGACCATTGTATATCGACATGAATATTAATTCAAAATCCCCTACGTGCGACATAGCTGCATATCTGAGAATGCTTTGACGCGCTTCCACAGCGATCGGAACGTCTGGCAATTCCACCAACTGTGGTAAACGTAGCCTATAATTTATTATTTAAAAGTACTTTTAACATGTAAAAACAGACAGACAAATTCCAAAGCTTGTAGAAGGTTACTACTGGTAAGACTGACTTACTACAGGTGAAATTGTGCCAATACCTCCCTCCATGTATTTACAGTAGGCTACACAATTAATTTTATATTTTTATTTTTATAATGGGTTTTGACTTAGCCTACTACAGGTGAGATGATGCATTATTCATCAGTGTGTATAATAAAGGTTGTGAAATTATTGCCTAATATAGTATTAACTCGACGTTAATACTGCAAGGATATTCCACAGCATCAAGATAATTTGTTAATGGTCATAACAAATCATGGTCAGCGCGTACACCAGCGTGATTGACACTGCTAAGACATTCCTCCTGGCTCTGATTGGTTGTTTCTGACCTGGAGCGGTGTATTTCTGCAAATGGCAATAGGACCACTGGGAGGAGCCAGAGGAGCTTGATGTTTTCACAGATTATCTGTCTCATATTCTACTGTCAGGACATAATGACAGTTTTACCAAATATTTGTTTACAAAAGTTACCTACTGCAACTTTAATGTGGACTTCTTATACAGTGTTTATTCAGCTCTTACTCATCAGTATATTTTTGGCCAACATTCGTACGCGGTCTGCTACAACAGGCTTGTACAAATAGTTGATAAAAGCAAGATGGAAAAATAGGTTATAATCGTAATTAAACTACTATACCTGTTCTATCTCCATACAGCATATATTATCTGGCTCTGAGGGCATTATTGTCTGACTCCGGGTCGAAATGAACACAGCTACTGAGAGTTTCTGTTTTGATATCATCATTTTGTGAGATGAGATTGTCCTGACAGAGCGCGAGCTTGTGAGGCTCTGCCCTCTGGGCCAGCAGCAGTTGCTCATTTGCATTTAAAGGGATACACACTAAAACTGTGCATTTTTCTGAGCCCCAAAAGGTGACAATTTAAACATGCTGTAAAAAAATATCTGTTGGGTATTTTGAGCTAAAACTTAAATCAGAGATTTATTTTATATCTTGTGAAAAGGGGCATAATAGGTCCCCTTTAAACTCAACATGGTCTGCAAATTCTTTAACATAATAATATACTGCCACAAAAGTACATAAAGGTTACAAACGAAAGACTGCGAAAAGCCTTTTTGTATTTGCACTTAAAGGGGTCATATAATGGTACATGCACTTTTACAAGTTGATTGTACTGAAATGTGTGTTGCAGTGCCTGCACACAACCATCATAGAATGATAAAAATCCATCCAGTGTTTTTTTAATCTTCTTATATGTTTTCCCCGGTCTCAAATCGAGCCATCTGACCGTGTGACGTCACCCTCCCATGATTGTTGATTGACAGCAGCGTTTCAACACAGACCCGCCCTCAATTATAGTCCGCGGGGTCATTGTTGATACGCTGGAGCAGAATGGAGTCTAAGCTATTGTGGTGTTCTGTTCTTGGGTGTAATAACGAACACAGCAGTCATTTTGATGTTCCTAAATCCGAACCGCTGAAGACACAGTGGCTGAGTTTTGTTTTCGAAGGGAATATTCCCCACGATCAACGTCAATGCTTTCATGTTTGCACAAATCATTTCACCAGACTTTAGCTTTACAAACGAGGTCAGTATAAAGCTGGTTTTGCTAAGATGCTGCTCCTGAAAAAAGGATCAGTACCAACTATTCGTGTTCCTGCTGCACCTCCAGAAGAACTGAAGTGAGTGTAACGTTTTATTAACCTTTATATTAATCTTTGCAAATCGCTTGCATGCTTCATGAATGCGGCTAAGGTTTACACTCAGGGTAATGTTTTTTATGTACTACATTCTCAATATAATTCATAATCCCACGTTTATAATGAAAAACGTGTTATGATGTCCTCAGAGACTCCCACTTCCCATCTTTCTCCAAAATATACCCTCAACTGTTGTCAAGGCAACACTCCACCTGTGTTTTGTCAAAATGCCCCACAGAACAGAGGGGTGGAGTGAGCAAAGCTCATTATCATTTAAAGACACATGCACTTAAATGGCGTGCTGAGAACAGTGCTGTTTTGACCAGGTAAAATTAGTGTTTTCTTACAATACAAATGAGAATTTCTAATTAAAGGGTAGCTAAACCCCTGGTCAGAGCCTGACTCCCGCAGCGCACCTGAGACCCACAGTGACGGATTAATTGACAGCTGCTGTCAGACTCTAAAATGGAAAGTGACTGGAGTGACGCAAGTAGCTTTGCAACAGAGCTGTCATTTGAAATCGAGGAATTTTCTCCCCCACCTTCACCTGAAGAGGAGGAGGGTGAATTGTCTGTGGACACAGGGCCAGAGCCATATCAATTCGAGTCGCTGTTTTCAAACTGCGGTCTTAAAGGGAGACCAGGCAAGCCTGAGTGTTTTTTCTCTACGGAGCTCCCCCTAGTGTCTGGTAGCAAATGCTTTCAAACACACTGTCTAATAAAGAACTGTTGTTCCTCCCCCCTCACCATGAGCAACCCAGCTGATCAGCTGTCAACCCAGCTGAGCAGAGGAACTGGCTATTTCAAAACCAGTTATGTCTGCGAAGAATTGTATCTCTATTTATTTGCAAACT